GGTTTGCTGGTCGTACATCTGTAGCACAGTATGTACTACCAGGTAGTCTCTATCCATCATCACGATTGTTCAGCCAGTTCCTGCTGTTAGTAGTTACCGCTGTGCCAGCTTTTTACCAAATACTGCATCCGACACTCATTCCTCGCGGCAAATGATTCTTTCATCCTTGCTTATCAGGACTACCACCCATCACCCACAGGCATCAAACTATGAGGTTCGCCAGCAGCCTGATCGGACGGCAAGACAAAGAAGCGCGAACGCTAAATAGTTTGGGCGGTAGCTCCTTGCTTCCACCCAGGAGAAGTACATTGCTTCTTTGATCGATAGAGCAGCTCTCTTTGCTCTATCATCAGTCAGACAACTCGATTGTACAGCTTCAGAGTTGATCATGAACTAGCTAGCTACTACTTAGGCGGGTATCGACCAGTCGCCTTCTTCCAAATTGCCAAACCGGTGCGATGGTTTCTTTGCTGTGCAGAAGGGAGGATCCAAGAACGAACACGCAGCCGCGGGAAACGGCCTCACCATACCGTACATGGTAGACTACTTCGTCCTCTGTTGCTTTTTGGCTTTGATCTCCTTGCTCTATTCTTTCAAACAACTACCAGGTAGCTAATATGTGGTTTACCGGTACACTGTACCGGTATCTGGTAAATATCTGGTACTGTATCTGTAGAGGAAGATAGTTGATAGTTGATCATTGTGCCAGTGACCGTGAGTGACGACCACTTCTTCAATTTCGAAACTTTAGAAGGTTTTGCGATCCAGCGTGAGGGTGTGACGCAGTTTCTTCAGAGGACCAACAACGAAGCTTTAGAAACCAACAACAGTTTTACCTGTATGATACTGTCAACTGGATCTAACATCTAACTGCTTCTGGTACTACGGGAGAAAGGGGCTATTATGACATAAGAGATTGCATTCAGCAGAATTAGAGAAAGGGCCTACTCAGTACAGATGAATGGGTAATGGTAATCATGATTTAATTAATATTAGCCTCCTCAAAGATACCTCTGTTAGAATTCGCCAGTAGAAGTGCATAAGGCATTAACAACCAATCTTGCTGTGAAAGAAGGTGGAAAAAGCTGTGGAACACACATTCTCAAAAAAAGCCTTCTGGTAGCTGGCCTATCTAGACTTGGAAGTTCGAAACAACAACAACACGGTGGTTCGATCATGATCAAACATCATCCAGCAAAAGCTCCATTTGCTCACAATTCCAATACCTGAAACAAGCAGCCTCACAATCTCTCAAGTCTCAACCGTTTTCTACACTACCCAAAAGCAATCATGTCATGTTCACGAAGAGTTACATTCCAAGGCAAGGAAGTTTCGTCTGTGAAGACATTTGAACCACTTGACAGCGACCAAGCCAAGGAGTTGTTTTATCAAGATGAGGACTACATCAGGTTTCGCTCTGACTTTGCTATTTACAAGGCCCAAGCAGCCAAAATGGAATGCATTCGAAGAGTGGAAGCAATCAGGAAGAGAAGACCAGCAGCCATGCTGTCCGCTGTGGACTCCTACAACAGGATCTCTCGTTGTCCTTCCCAAAGAAGTCCCTTCCGACGATCAGTTGCCGTCAATGGATGTGCCATGATGGCGTGATTTTGATTTCGGTCTGCTATACTTTGAACGCAGCGTTGATCTGTAACAGTGTAAATAAGACTATTTAGTACACATTACTTCACTTCTCTGATGAAGAGTACCATATCACAATCTAACCAGCCACATCAAGATTAGGGGCACAATCACTTGAGTAGCGTTGGTGATGATGCAGAGCAGTTGGACAGCGTTATCTGTATGGCATACATACTTGAAGCCTTGACGGCACGATGGCGAAAGCCAATACGACAATACGACCCCGTAGCGTAGTGTTACCGCTCGAGCTGAACTTCAGGCACTGCAATGCATCTCAGGAGGACTTTGAACAGGTCGAACATTCCTCGAAAGCAAGTCACGCTACCATTGTATCTATGCAGGTACAACTGGCTGTGCAATTCAAGTCAAGGATCTCGACTGAGCAGCTTGGTGCAACAGCCAGCGCGATGAAGCACTTTCAGCCACAACCAATCAGCCATAATGACAACCCTCCGGGATACCGTACCGTTGGCTGTGAGGTGTATGCCTGAAGACGATGGAAAGAGTACAAGTTCCACAATGGCTGCCGCGAAGGAATGTTCCTCCAGCACAGCTAAATATCCAAACCACACCTCTGGCGTTGTCTGCTGGAATGAGCTTGGACACTGTGAGCCTTCGTTGAATCTCTTGACTAGTTCGCTTACATTGCAGATTAAGGGAAATTTGCAGTTGTAGCCAACGAGGCAAGATATGTACATACCAGGTACTAGTAGTGGGTTTCCCTCGGGGGCTCTTTTTATGCCGATCACGAAAGTGCTGTACTACTTAGTTAGTTAGACTAGCTAGTAGTAGACTAGTAGTATTAGTATTAGTAGACTACCGTAGATCATACGATTTTAGCAAAAGTGACTGCACTAAGTAGTTTTACTCATGATCAGCACAAACTGCCGAATCGCCAAAACACAGGCTTTACTCTGTGGTAACTTTTCGGTTGTTTGACTTTTTCATCCCCCTTGGGAATCATCAGTGCTTGGGCTATTGTGGTACTTATGAAATCGAGGTTTATGTCGGCATGCTCCATATTTCGTTGCAGGAGTTGATCAGGTTTTCTGGCGATTCTCTGGATCGTTTCAGTATCTCGAGTCGCTCGCTGTTGCATAGGCTGCAGTGTCGTGTCCCGAAGGTCTTGACAGTGCTGATGGGGTTGCCTTGCCATAGGATGCTAATTTCGATGCTGTTCCTTTGAATGTCACCTTGTAGATGCGAAGTTTTTGAATTTTTTGTACCGTAAAAGTATATCCCTGAACTGAGAGAAATACTGAGAGCCTGTACCTGTGGTAGCCATCCTACAGGAGGTATGGAGAGGTATCGAGTATCGAGTATCGAGGTACCCAACACCTGGTGTATGCAAGGTCCATGGATGTTCCACCGTTCGTTTATACCACTGAGAACGTCACCGCCTCGGTCGTAAGATAAATGAGGCTCGCACCTCTACTACTCACTGTTAAGATATACGAACGCACCTCCACCTCTCCGTTCGTTCGTTCGCACCTCTATTATCTCGAAAACGCACAAGTCCTCGAAATCACTAGCTAGTAGCTAGCTAGCTAGCCAGTACGTTCGAAAAGCACAAGTCCACGAAAACGAAAACACAATAAGTACTCATGTAACAGACTCACTATAAGGCATGGCTACCATGCTGATTAAACTAAGGTCAACTTTACTGAGCACGAACAACACAAAGATCCTCATGCAGACTGCCCATAATGGTGTCCTGCTTGATGGCAGCAGTAATATTCAAAACACTTCCCGCCTTTGTAATGCTCCTCAATCTTGGAGATGACCCAAGCTGGAGCTTTCTGAGCATTGACAAGTGTAGCCATGAGAGTCCAGAGTGGCTTCCTCCTTGAGTAGGTTGACTTGCAAGCCCTGATATCTTCAGCAGTGAAGTTCTTGGCTGGCTTGTTGCCACCAATACCATGCATCCACTCTTGCCAAGCAGAGCCAACAGTTCTGTACTTGGCTAGCTTGGCAGGCCTACTATCAGCAGGGTGGTGGCCACAGCTTGTCTGTACCTGAGGCTAGTCTGGCCATTCCGGCGAGTCCTTTCCACAGTCAACCATTTCTAAAAAGATTACCATCACCTGATCAGGTGTTGCCATCCTTGAGGCTGAACAGCAATCCTAAAAAGATACAAAAACATAGTTAGCAGCATAATAGCCATGTTGCAATAGCCAACAGCCACAAGTCCACACTTACCTGCAAATATTTCCATTGAGTTTCGTCAGCTCCGCGCCAAGCCAAGTCTCCAACCAACCTCTCAAAGCAGCAGCCGAACTGTCCGGGTCCTATACCTTCTGCGCTATGAGCTGCTGAGCTGGTTGTGCTGCGCAATAATCCTTGTCAGAATCTCCTCGTTCGTTCTTACCTGTTGTTGCGTTTGCATACCGTCACCTGCCGCGACTATTGGAACTTGACGAGTGCTTGCCTGGCCGGCGTCCCGGTCGCCGTCGTAGTGCCACCAGCCGTGCCACCGCCGCCTCCCGTTCCATCGGCTCGATTTCGTTTATGTGGAGCTTGGTGTTGTGCGTCAAATAGAGAGAGGCACTTTCACCACAGGGTTGACGCAACAGGAACATCGGCCTTGATGCGCTCTACGCATCTTGGATCCTAACACGAACGGGAGGCTCCATCTCTCCTCCCAAGATTCGTCAGAGCAGCCCACAAAAGAGGCAGAGCAAGTGAAGCGAAATGTCGTTACACCGTCGTAAAAGCATGCGTCCTTGGCACCACATGCTCAATCAACCAGTTGGGAGTCACTCTCTTGGCATCCGGTGTAGCTTGTAGGCAATAGGAGCCCCCATGCAAAGCTTTTCGGCAACACGAGCGTCGATCCAGGGCTGTTCAGGCGAAATGTAGGCATCAACAACCCGTCCAGACAAGCGAGCCTTCCAGCGACCTCGAATGCAACTTCGTCAGCAGTAGCACCCATCCTCTTGCCAGAGTTGCAGCAAACTTCCGAATGCTGTGACTCCCAAGAACACCAGCAATGAGGAGCGCCACAGCCAGAAATGGAGCCGACAAAAAGACAGCCTTGAGAATGTTGCGGTAGGCTGCGTTGCAGTGCTTGGGAGCCAACTTGGATCGCTTTCGGGAGTAAGAGGAATGCATCTTCCCGACCAGCGGCGCCATACCCGTAGTTGAAGGACGCCTCCATGTAATTGGCCAATCCGAGCATAGCAAAAAAGTCGGTATCCATCGACCAAGAATGATTTGGTCAGGGATTGTCGTTCTTCCGAAATATTCTTGGCCAATGCACCTTGCAACTGAGCGCAAAAGGGAAGTCTGGATGCGGCTTGTAGTCGGAATACTTCAACTTGGAGATGTCGTCGTCCTGGTGATGAGATGGATTTGCTGCTTCAACATGCAGCTGTACGGATGGTCGATTCAAAGCTCCCTTTGCCGTAGAGTTCATGGACCACCTTGCGATACTCAGTTTCCGTCAAATCCCTGGTGGCACAGGACTTCTTGCCGCGGTGTTGAGTCTCCGCTTTCTTGACTTCCTTGACCACTTCGTTCACAGGATCGGACTTGGTTGGATTGCCGGAGGTTCCATTCCATGTGGCACCTTTGATGGCATGTAGAAGGAGATAGCCTTCTTGTCTTGCTCAAGAGTAGAGGAGCGGCAAGTTGGATTCTGCTCGAGGTCTTTGAAGTCAACATCGGTCGTACCATACGCACGCCATTTCAAGTAGTCGGCAACGTGATGTGGTTGGATGCCGGCCAAGCACTGGGTTGGAAGCGAGCCGCCTTGGTGTATGTCCTCTTGTGCAGCCAGCTCATGAATTTGACGAAGAGTCGATGGTAATCCCGGTTGTACTTGGGCTGTTCCGTGGGTGCTTCAGGAAGATCCGGCACGTCTTCCAACCCAAAGGCTCCAGCATTGGCATTGTTGGCCATGGTGGAGCAATTGTTTAGTCAACTAAGCAATTGTTGGTTGGATGAGCTTGAGCTGGAATTTCGGCAGAGTTTCCTTTACAAAGTAGAAGGATTGAAAATAATGAGGAAAACTGAACTGGAAGTGAGCTAGCTAGCTACCTGTTCGGAGAGGATCGATCCGGCTAGCTAGCGTTGATCCGGCTAGCTAGCGTCGTTCTTGCACGAGTGCGGCGTTGTTTGCCTCTTTACGGCACGGGATTCCAATGCTTGAGTATGCTGCAAGGTTCCGCGTAGGATAGCTACATCATGTACAACCACCGATCAGTAGTAGTGCAGAATTGCAACGACTCACTGAGTATACCCTACCTGAAACGATTGGATCTTAGTAGAACGATCCGATCTCATTGGATGTGGGAATCGGCAGTATGTTGTGTGGTACTTAAGGCGAAATCGGAATCCTCTCAGTATGTGGTTGGTCTTAATGCCGGTGTTATATCTTCACTGTTGCAGTTTATTTAATAATGAGAGTCTTATTGAGAGGATCTTTGTTTCAATGACTACTGATACTGTAGACTTTCTACGTAGCATACTGTCATTGATCCTGAGGGTATGTAAGATCCACATAGTAGTAGGGGGAAGCACATACTGACCCTGTGCAACTACTGTTGCAGAAATGTAGTACCGTACTAGTAGATCATGGTGAAGGATCACAATGTCCCCTTTTCGATTATCGAAGTGTTCAAATTTATTATTCGATTGATTCGATTTAATCAATTCAATCGTGTAAATTTGGAGCTTTGATCCTAACCCTATATTCCGTAGTTTTGACGTCAGAGTGATGTCAGGATGCTCAGGCTTGCACGACTGCTTGTGCAACGCTGCCTGCGCGCAGGCTTTAAAAAATGGATCGAAATTCATTTTGGCTTGGCAGTTGGTCATGTCGAAGAGACAGCTGAAGGAAACCCAAGGAGGAAAGCCAAGACAACACCTATAAGTATCGTTACACTGTCGACTTGCTTGAGTATTGCATGTCCTCAATCTGTAACGGAAGGGACAACCGATTGAATCTGACCTTCCCTTTCGCACGATAGACAGGCTTGGCGGTTTGGATTCAAATGGGATTTCTCGCGGTTGGCACCTGTACCGTAGCTGCCTTGCATGACGTGGAGGCGAGACTCGTCTCTTCTGCGAGAGCTGTTGAGCGGAGCCTAGGTCGACGAAGAGTGACTCTGGGGGTGGGGGGAGCCCATGGCCCGTCAGGAAACTTGCCTTCGCAACGGGGACTGCCCACCATCGTCCAGGGAGAAGGAGTCGAGCTAGACTAGAAATAAGTCAATCACCTAATGCTTGAGCGCAAGAATACTTTAGTCCAGATGTATTTCATGTAAAATCATCAAATCTAGCAAATAGGTTTTCATGAATTAGTTAGTAGTAGTAAAAGACACACAATCGTAACAACGTAAAAAAAAGTAGTAAAGAAAATGAAACCCGTTCAGTAGTACAATCAAGTGGACGTGCCCATGATGATGCCTCCATTTGCGATGCCCTGGTGTAGATTTTTGCATGTATTGTACAACATGTGTGTGTGTGTAGTTTGCCGAATGGAATGGAATGAATGAATAGAGAAAAAGAGAGAATGCAACGCGCAGTCTGTTCATGCAATGATTGATTGATTGATGGGAAGGAAATGCATCCAATTCAATTCGTGTTTTGTTGGTAGTGGTGGTTGGTCTACCAAGAAGGGTGATGATGGATCAATGGCTGTGGATGAGGCATCGCCGGAGGAGGAGGAGCGTGTGAATGATGGGACGAATAGGCCGACGCAGGTCGGGGTGGCAATGATTCCGATCGTTGCACCGGAGCAGGTCGCGACGATGCTGCTGTATTCGTATTATTATTCGATGCATTGAGACTCTCCATAAAGCTGGGCAAATCTTCCTTGCGCATAGTGTAGCACCGGTAGGTGACCTTGTACTTTTGTTCTCCTCCCGTGCGGGTGGGCAATGCCATTTCCATTCCCGGTGGAATCGAGTAGGCAGTAGGAGGACCGTAGGCAGCAGCAGGTGCTAGTGATATATGTGGTGAATACGCTCGACCACTGCTGTTGGAAGACGGAATGGATGGAAGAGGTGGTGGTGCCAAGTGGCGAACCGCCGATCGAGGAGAGTAGGGACTGGGTGGTCCCCACGATGCGGGTGGCATCGGGTGTGGTGGATGATAGTATTGTTGTTCCTGATGATAGTGTCCTCCGTGCGGCGGCTGTTGTACCATTCGTCCCACTCCTCGAGACGGAGAGTGTACTACACTGGCGACAGAAGGAGGACGAAGGTATGCTTGAGGAGGAAGCACTTGTGGCATGGCAGGAGGAGGTGGTTGGTAGTTGTTCCATCGAGATGCAATGGGAGGAGGAACGGGGGAATTTGGACTGCTGCTGTCTCTTCTTGCAGATGCATTGGATGCCACAGACTCTCGACCACTTCCACCACCACGTCCACCAGGAATCACCATGACACCGGGAGGAGGAGGTGGGAAATCATAGGTCAAGTGACCTGCTCGATCGTCTTCCAGGTCCTTGCGCATGTCCTTTTGCAGGTTGTTTGCTGCCTTGAGGGGCTCCTTACTGTCGTTGTTCGCATTGTTGTGGTACGCCGCCATTTCTTCGTGATAGCGGACCTTGTCGTCTTCTGCCATTTTCTCAAACTTTTGGATTTCGTCTTGTGGCAAATCACGCCATAGCTCTCCGACTTGACGCTGAATGTCATCTTCCGAGATGCTGCCCACCGTCAAGGACTGCACCATCCTCAACCGTTCTTGATGATAGAAAATCGCGTAGGCATTCATGGGACGTTTGGGCAAACCTTTTGGTTTCTTCTTGCGACGACGAGAGACACGAGGACGTTCGTCTGCTGTCATCCACAAGGAGGATGGATCGACCGGTGGAGCAGCGCAAGTCTGACTGCTGTTGTTATTGTGATGATCCAAGACTTGAACGCTTCGATAGTGCTGTTCTTGAGGTTGGGTGTTTCTTTCTTCGTCTCTCTTACGCTTGTTGTTTCCTTCTGCCAGAGACCCGTTAGAGCTCCCGTTAGTAGTAGTGTTCGTGTACGGAGAGCAAGAGCGCGCAGCTCCATCATCGTCTTGCTCCAACTCCACTTCGTTCAACAGAGCCAAAGAAACGTCTTCCGAAGAGGAATTCCCATCCATCGACCACTCCAAAGGAGCCAACGGATCCGTCTCTCGGTTGGCTGCTGCAGCAGCAGCTGAGGAACTTGTATTAGAGCACGCCATGGTTGCTATGGTATGTATGGTCGAATCCGAATCCGTCTTCACAATCGTATTACCTTTCTTCTTCTTTATGAGAAGAAGACAGCCACAACAATCAGAGTATCTTTCGTAGGGATGCTTGCAGTCATGTACGATAAACAAACATGCGAGTGATAAAGCTGAATGGGTGAATGAATGAGACAGCTTGATGGATAGAAGTGATGTGGATGGGAAGGGTCTACCGGTATGTGGTGGGGTTCGCTGCGTGAGTTTGAACGAGCCCCTCTGAAAAGCTTTTCGGAGGGGTTGAAGACGCACGCTCGACTTCCAACCTCAAGCACAGTGGTCGGACGCCGGGCCGAGGCGTCGGGTGTGACAGCTGTGACAGCACAATCCTTTTACATCAACCAATAATCTCTCGGAAATGGATCGCTCAGACCATGAAGAATGTGTTCTTTCAACACTTCCCTTGAATTGACTATCAACAAAATAAATTGACTTTGGCGTCTGTCCTCTTGTCCAAACTAACAAAAGAAAATAATATGGCGTATGGAAGATTGGAGTGTTACCGTAGGTACAGTACAAGTATATCCCAGAACTGAGAGAAATACTGAGAGCCTGTACCTGTGGTAGTGGATCCTACAGGAGGTATGGAGAGGTATCCATCGTACCCAACACCTGGTGTATGCAAGGTCGATTGTTAATACCAGTGTCGACCTAGTGAAGGTCACGTCCTCAGTCCTAAGAAAAATGAGGCTCGCACCTCTACTACTCACTGTTAAGATAACGATAAAGCACCTCTTTGGTTGAGCTCTACGTTTTCGAAAATATCGCTCACTAGCTAGCTAGTAGTAGCTAGCTAGTAGTAGCTAGCTACTAGCACGTTTTCGAAAACGCAAAGTCCTCGAAATCGCTTGCTGGCAGTACGTTCGAAAAGCACAAGTCCACGAAAACGAAAACGAAAAAGATCAAGTCCATGTAACAGACTCACTATAAGGCATGGCTAGCATGCTTATCAAACTAAAGTAAACAAACTACTGAGCACGAACAATGCAAAGATCCTCATGCAGAGTGCCCATAATGGTGTCCTGCTTGATGGCAGCAGTAATATTCAAAACACTTCCTTTGTAATGCTCCTCAATCTTGGAGATGACCCAAGCTGGAGCTTTCTGAGCATTGACAAGTGTAGCCATGAGAGTCCAGAGTGGCTTCCTCCTGGAGTAGGTTGACTTGCAAGCCCTGATATCATCAGCAGTGAAGTTCTTGGTGGCTTGTTGCCACCAATACAATGCATCCACTCTTGCCAGAGCAGAGCCAACAGTTCTGTACTTGGCTAGCTTGGCAGGCCTACTTATCAGCAGGGGTGGTGGCCACAGCTTGTCTGTACCTGAGGCTAGTCTGGCCATTCCGGCAGTCTTTCCAAGTCAACCATTTCTAAAAAGATTACCATCTACCTGATCAGGTGTTGCATCCTTGGAGGCTGAACAGCAATCCTAAAAAGGATACAAAAATACATAGTTAGCAGAAGTAATAGCCATAGTTGCAAAGCCAACAGCCACAAGTCCACACTTACCTGCAAATATTTCCATTGAGTTTCGTCACTCCGCGCCAAGCCAAGTCTCCAACCAACCTCTCAAAGCAGCAGCCGAACTGTCGCGGGTCCTACCTTCCTGCGCTATGAGCTGCTGGAGTGGTTGTGCTGCGCAATATCCTTGTCAGAATCTCCTCGTTCGTTCGTACCTGCTGTTGCGTTTGCATAGCCGTCACCTGCCGAGACTGTTTGGCAACTTGACGAGTGCTTGCCTGGCCGGTCGTTCCCGTAGTGCCACCAGCCGTGCCACCGCCCCTCCCGTATCCATCGGCTCGTTTTCGTTGATGTGGAGCTTGGTGTTGTGCGTCAAATAGAGAGAGGCACTTTCACCACAGGGTTGACGCAACAGGAACATCGGCCTTGATGCGCTCGTACGCGTCTTGGATCCTAACACGAAGGGAGGCTCCATCCTCTCTCCCAAGATTCGTCAAGAGCAGCCCACAACAGAGGCAGAGCCAGGTGAAGCGAAATGTCGTTGACACCGTCGTAAAACGCATGGTCCTTGGCACCACATGCTCAATCAACCAGTCGGGAGTCACTCTCTTGGCATCCGGGTGTAGCTTGTAGGCAATAGGAGCCCCCATGCAAAGCTTTTCGGCACACGAGCGTCGATCCAGGGCTGTTCAGGCGAAATGTAGGCATCAACAACCCGTCCAGACAAGCGAGCCTTCCAGCGACCTCGAATGTCAACTTCGTCAGCAGTAGCACCCATCCTCTTGCCAGAGTTGCAGCAAACTTCCGAATGCTGTGACTCCCAAGAACACCAGCAATGAGGAGCGCCACAGCCAGAAATGGAGCCGACAAAAAGACAGCCTTGAGAATGTTGCGGTAGGCTGCGTTGCAGTGCTTGGGAGCCAACTTAGGATCGCTTTCGGGAGTAAAGAGGAATGCATCTTCCCGACCAGCGGCGCCATACCCGTAGTTGAAGGACGCCTCCATGTAATTCGCCAATCCGAGCATAGCACAAAAGTCGGTATCCATCGACCCAAGAATGATTTGGTCAGGGCATTGTCGTTCTTCCGAAATATTCTTGGACCAATGCACCTTGCAACTGAGCGCAAAAGGGAAGTCTGGATGCGGCTTGTAGTCGGAATACTTCAACTTGGAGATGTCGTCCGTCCTGGTGATGAGATGGACTTGCTGCTTCAACATGCAGGCTGTACGGATGGTCGATTCAAAGCTCCCTTTGCCGTAGAGTTCATGGACACCTTGCGATACTCTTTTCCGTCAAATCCCTGGTGGCACAGGACTTCTTCCGCGGTGTTGAGTCTCCGCTTTCTTGACTTCCTTGACACTTCGTTCACAGGATCGGACTTGGTTGGATTGCCGGAGGTTCCATTCCATGTGGCACCCTTGATGGGCATGTAGAAGGATATAGCCTTCTTGTCTTGCTCAAGAGTAGAGGAGCGGCAAGTTGGATTCTGCTCGAGGTCTTTGAAGTCAACTCGTCGTACCATACGCACGCCATTTCAAGTAGTCGGCAACGTGGTGTGGTTGGATGCCGGCCAAAGCACTAGGTTGGAAGCGAGCCGCCTTGGTGTATGTCCTCTTGTGCAGCCAGCTCATGAATTTGACGAAGAGACGATGGTAATCCCGGTTGTACTTGGGCTGTTCCGTGGGTGCTTCAGGCAAATCCGGCACATCCTCCAACCCAAAGGCTGCTCCAGCATTGGCCATGGTGGAGCAATTCTTTGGTCAACTAAGCAATTGTTGGTTGTGCTGGAATTTTGGCAGAGTTTCCTTTACAGAGTAGAAGGAATGAAAATAATGAGGAAAACTGAACTGAACTGAAGTGGTAGCTAGCACTGCCGATGGATGGATCGATCGATCGATCGCACGGGATTTCTCCGTTGTTTGCCTCTTTGGCTTGAGTATACGTCAACTCGTACGATTCGAGAGTACTGCAACTCTTGCAACGATTGGATCTTTTGGCTGAGTATGTGTCAACTGGAACGATTGGATCGCATTGGAATCCAATCGGTATGTTGTGGTACACTTAGAGGAATATGGGAATCCTCTCAGTATGTGCATTGCTCTTATGTATGCATGCGCCCCTGTTATATCTTGTCTGTTGCAGTTTATTTAATAGTGAGAGTCTTATTGAGAGGATCTTTGTTTCAATGACTGCCAATACTGTAGGTTTTCTACGTAGCATACTGTGCCAGATCCTGACAGTATGTGGATCTGCCTAGTACTAGAGGGAAGCACATACTGACACTGTGCAACTACTGTTGCAGAAATGTAGTACCGTAAAAGTACCGGTACACAGTGCACGACTGTACATTGTTTCACCGGTAAGCAAATCCTCAACATTGGAGGAATTTATTGAAACCAGTACTCGGCCAGACGGTATACCTTTAAATTTCAGCCTGACCAGGTCTTACCAAAGAGTGAGTCAAATCCAGAAGCTCCCCCTGAGAAGGAAGAAAGTCACGTCAGACTAACGCAAAAACAAGAACCATTCCGGATTTTGGTCACTTTTAGTGTACCTAAAGAATAAGTTGGATTTCAAAAGAAACACATATTGACTAGAAATTTTTACTTATGCCAACGACATATGACTTTTGAATAATTTGAGTACTTAGAATGATGCTTAAAATTGTTTATATACATTGTATGTGGTTTGTTTAAATGAATTTACTCGTGGAACTACCGTTGGGTTAGAGCGGGTAATATGACAGTTAACTAGACACTGTCAGGTGAAAATTGCATCCGCGAGGTGCACCATGGACTCCCACCAGCCGGGCCATGGTGGCAGCATGCGAAAAAGAAAAACCAAAAGTGTTTTTGTTGCACGACGACAGTGGGGTAGCGTGATTTGTCCCTACCAGGTACACTACCAGTCTGGTATCTGGTCCTCTGCTGTTGTTGTTGTTGTCCAAAGAAGGATCATCTGAGTCGCTGACATCCTATTGTGCTGCGAGATTTATAGTATATTACTATGTGGGTCGCGCATTCATCGGTTGTCCGTGTCCCGAAAGGATGGGCGCCAGCTGTCTTTCAAGGGATGGAAAGTCTTTGATCGTTCCACTGTGACTTTGCGTCTCCCAACAGCAGAGACACTTCAGGTATGTAGGTTTTGGAATGCCATCAAGGTGGCTCGTTGCATCTCGCGCTGAGAAGCAACAAACTGTCATAGATCACATGTGATTGCAGTCTCGTGGGACCGGAAGCATTTGCTAGGCAACGGTCGGCCGTAACAGATCTTCAAACCGCTACAGCCAGCAGTCTTCTTATCTCCAAATGCTCCGAGTTGTACCGGCTTTGGATGAGTTTTGGCATTTTTCAATTCATTGGATCCAACCAAGGGAAGGATGTACATTCAGCTAGTGTTCCTCTCGTAAAGCCTTGGTCTGACCAGAACGACTGATGCCTCGCACTACTTTGTCGACCGAACTGGTAGCGAAGTGTTGTCGTTCGTTCCAGGACGCCTTGAACCGTTTCAAGCCTTGCGAGCTTGCGAGGAGGCAAGCTCTCGATGTGTGAATGGATTGAAATCATTTGTTCTGTTTCTGAGAGCCGTACCGGGTAGCGGTACACCGGTACCACTCAAAGCTGATGACACGATGACGTTTGCCAAGTGCGCGAAAGGTGGGGAACACCCTGTTAAAACCTTGTTTGAAGTGTGTTTGAAGGGGGTCGCGTTTTGGTGACGACGGTACCGAAACCGGTACATGAAGATTTTAGCCATCCGGGCAACGAATCGAAACCTTATTATGTATGGGGGTGAATTCTTGGTAATGTTGGCACAAGTTGTGGGCTTGTACTAGACTACAACAGGTCCTTGAAAAGCTGAAGAAAGGATGCAGCTACGTACGTCATCCTCACGTGCGATGAATGAATGTAACTGCTCTTGTCAGTTGTTTCCTGAGTCCACTGCTGAGCCCAAGAAGACTCTTTCCGCCCAAATCTTCCTGCCTAGATTCCTGAACTTGTAGTATTGAAGGCTTTCGAACAATTTGTCCCTTCTTTGATGGTCAAATGGGGCTGTCTGCGATGCAATGACAAAGTGGGAGCCGCGACGAGAATCATAGGCTCCTCTGTGACACCATGGGGTAGTGCATCAATTTTTGTCCGATTCTTTGGCTTTTATCAACTGGATCCCCGATAGAGTTTATTTGTGGATCTGTTGCTTCTGCCTTCAATCAACAATCAATATCGCCGTTGGCAACAGAAACAAGAGGAACGCTCACGATACGGTAGTACAGGTGATCAGCCAACAAGTGTGCAAGTTTAGACTGTGCGAGCCCAAGGCAAGATGGGCGCACTGAAGGCCATGATGGCGCCCTGAACGAGACCCTTCTCATTGTCAGCCGGTTCATAAAGTTGGTATTTCATTGGCGAATAATCGTGAGAGTAGCCAACCTCTCCAGTTGATTGATTGTTCCGGAAGGTGCCAGTACTTTCCATTGAGAAAACTGACAATCTGATCGGCAAGAAGTACCTGGATACAGCGGCCCGGTTTCCTCATTTGTAGAGTGGTGTTGCTATGTTTTAATCTTCTTTGATTTATTTGTTGTAGCCACTACTGTATTTACATGCATGTTGGCACGTTGGGCTCTTCCCAAGCCAAAGGCGTGACAGGAAAGAAGTTGCTGGCGGGGAAGAACACCACAGCGCACCGTATCATGGAGCTTTTCCTGCCAAACGTAAAACTATTATTGGTACAGTACCTGCAGGTTTTTCAGAATCCAAAAAGCCAGGAACAGTGATTTTGTACGGAGGACCTTATGAAGTTTGTGTCTAATGTAAATTACTGTGGTATGCTTGCAATGCGGATCCGTTGTTGTAGTTTTTTTGTACCGGTACAGGATCCCAAAAGCGTGGCAGTTTTCGCCACGGTTTGTGTGTGCCGTCTCGTGTCATGATGGCAAGGCTTACTTTTCATTGTTACAGGTATTGGAGGTGGTCTTTGCTGTTGAATGAACAATTCAATTTGTTAGTATGGAACAGCGGATGCCATGGGAGCATTCTTGATGTATTGCGGGTTTGCTGCTGGTACAGCTTCCACTTCGACTGGATCTGACGATGCCATCATTGGTTTGCTGGCAGGCTTTGTAGCGCTTTGCACAAAGCTCGAAATGAGTCCACCCAGGCCAGCAGAGGAAGCAGGAGCCGCTTGTGTTTTGTCATTGTCGGGAATTCCTGCTGCATCCATGGGCACAGTGGCACTCGCCGTGGGCACAGTGGTACTTGCCGTGGGCTTGGCACTAGCAGCGGCAGGTGTAGCAGTAGGGCTATATTGCTGTGGTGGCTGTTGTTGCATGGCTGGAGCTGGCGGTTCGGACCTTCCAGGAGGGTCCATGACGAGTCCACAACACACCGAACAGCCCAATCCACATCCACCCAAAAAGAGAAAGGCCCATCCAAATCCATAGGCAATTCCAAAAGTTCCACCGATCCCTTCATCACAGGCTCCACTGTCTTCCACGTTTCCTGTCGCATACCAGAATCCTCCCAAGAGGAGCCATCCAAAATATCCACACGCGACCAAAATATAGGCGGCCATCCAGCCATCGTAACAAAACAATTTCCACATGCGATTGGCTCCTCCTGATGCCGTGTGTTCTCCGTCTCGCGACGGCAAGATGGATTCGTCCTTTTCCACTGCGTATGCCATGTAAAAGGCTGCCACAATATGCACCAGCGAGAGCAACCAAAACACCAACAACCACAGACTCCCCGGACAACCACCCACCGCATTGGGCAAGTCCATGAGCCCAAGTAGGATGGGTGGAAGATTCAATGCTATTGTCACCGTAATGTGACAGCAAAATCGCGACGAGCAGCAGCCAGTGACAAATGCACAGGACTCGCTGCAGCATTGACCGAATCCTTTGCAGCAGGCGTCGCACACTTTGCAGGGAAGCAGGCACACTTGACCCACCAAATCACAGCAGCCGGTGCAGATTTTCCCAATTCCATCACACAATACCAACGCCATATTGTTGCTGCTTGAGGATTATTGATTGATTGATTTAGAAAGTTCTGATAGGGATGAGTGAAGAATTGAGCAATGGAGCGAGATGAAAGAAGCAGGAGATTGATGGCTTGGTCTTCTACTTCACGGCTATGGAAGTACAGTACAGTAAAAGGATTGCTTGGAGATTACAAAATCAAATGAAAGGTTCACTCTGGCTCTTGGTCTTTTTTTGTTTTATAGAAGTCAACACAATCGTGAGGATAAAAGGAGCAGGAGCTGCCATCATTTTCGGTTTTGGCAAGGGAAGCCAAGCCAAGCGCGATCTTCGAGTGAATCCCACCGTGAGTCCTGCGGTACCGGCATCACGAACAGCTTCCGGGTGACGATCAGTCTGGCGTTGAAACGACCGAGGGTGCGCGAGGGACTTCTACTACTAGCTAGCACAGCTGCTAGCGCACAGAGGACAACCCCTGGGCAAGTTTTTGCGCTGACGAGCGCCCAAAGGAACAACGCAACAGCATCAGGGTCAACAAGCCAAAGGGAATGTAACAAACGCTACAGCAGCTGAGCCATTCCAATAAGCAAGCCCTCAATGATAAAGGAGACACAGAATCAAGATGTTCAACAACAAGAAACCAGCAGCTCCTTTGATGCCTTTGGAATTTTTGGTGAGATGAAAGGGGAGCAAGAGAAGACGGAGATGGAGGTTGTAATTGGAAATCAGCACCCAACCACATTTCACAACAGTCTTGATTCAAAGATTTCCTCACCCCAGGCCCTTAGAGATGATGTCATCAGTAGCATCCAGCCATTCCCAATATCAAATCCACCAGAAATGCATCAAGCAAGAAGGGTCGGAGAGGACGGACCTGGGGTTTCCTCACTCCAGGCCGTTAAAGACGAAGCCATCAATAGCATTCAGCCATTACCTACATCAACTCCGCCATCACTGAATCGAGCAAGAAGGATCAGAGAGGATGGACCTGGAGCCTATGCTGTGCTTGGGATCAGACCAATATTTCACCGCCCAAGAAGTAGGCCATTGACTGGAAGGATTCCTGACACAGAAGGGCTGGGACTGGAATTGGTGCCGGCATCTCAAATGGACAGATATCGTGCGGATACTCTGATTCATGCTGACCCAATTGATGACTCAGAAAATGGGAGGATTCCAACAGCAGAGCCAATAACAACAAGGGCAAAGAAAATATGGAAGAAGAAACTATTCCTGTTCCTCTCCCTGGAAACAATGGTTGCCCAAGCAATTGTTTTAATTATTCTTGTGGCACTTCTTCTTGCTCCAAAATCGAGAAATCAAACACAGCCAGTGAAGCAGCAAAATGGAGTGATTCAATGCAAGAAATCCAGGGACAATAGCTTCAATCCACACAAGCACCAACTATCGCTATGGGAAAGCTAAATCTACCTGGCTACACCCTCAGGGCTATGGAAATCCAGTCTCCACAGACCAGGCATATCAATGGCTCAGGAACAATGTCAATAATGTCAACAAATCCAACAATACACAACTTCTCCCGGTATGGAGACTGAAGCAAAGGTTTGCACTGGCCACATTTTATTATTCAACACGGGGGGACATGGGTAAAAAATCAAGGCTGGCTGGATTGGGATTCCAATGAATGCAACTGGGCACAACTTCATGATGATGATGATGACCCAAACCAAGCCAATTAGTGTGATGACAATGGGCAGCTCCTCTCATTGAAATTTTGGTATGCCAACAACTTGGACGGAACCATGCCGTCAGAAATATCCCTGCTTCACGAGAGCTTGGAAGAACTTGCAATATCTTGGAGCTACCAGCTCAAAGGAAGCATACCAACAGAGGTTGGGCTTATGACAAGGCTGACACTCTTGTGGTTTACCACAACTCACTTGTCTGGCACACTACCAACAGAACTGGGTCCACTACGAAACTTGGAGAGACTATGGATCTCAGGTAGCGAATTTGATGGGACTCTACCTACTGAGCTGGGCAACCTAAACAACCTGACAGAACTTGTATTTGATAAAGCGAGGTTTTCTGGTATGCAAGGGAACCGGAAAATCATTGCAGAAATTCCACAGTTTGACTCATTGACTCACTTGATATTCTGCCTACACAGGGTCAATCCCCAGGGAGATTCTTGGATTGTCGAACCTGAAGACCTTGGGTTTCTTAGAGTGCCCTTTGTTGGATACAGCATCTTTCCTCTCTGAGGTGGTTGAAAACCTGCACAATTTGGAGTCCCTGAGTCTACGCTATCAAAAACCTGTGGGGTTCACATCAATCCCATGTAAGTGCCATTTGTTCTTTTCTTTGTCTTTTGCTTTCTGGATGCTGAACAGGTTTTTGTTTGAAATTTTGCTCTGAACAGCTGAAATTGGCAGGCTGACCAACCTGGTAAATCTTGTTTTCACTGACTTTCAACTCAATGGCACAATTCCAAGTGAGATGGGATTGTTGACAAAGCTAGTAAGTCATCATGAAAAAAAAAAGGTTGGATTTGGTTGCTCTATGCACTTAGGGAGTTATTTGTATCAATCCTTTGCAGAACTGTTTGAACTTGCAAAGGAACTCCATCACTGGCACATTACCAGAAGAGTTATCAAAGATGTCCCGTGAGTTGTCTTCTCAAACCAGATTTGCTAATTTCATCTCATGCTCATGCTTTTCGTCTGTCTGCTCTACTTCAAGAGCTGAAAGTACTGCGCATTAGTTCCAACCAATTAGAAGGCAGACCACTAGAACAAGATGTGTTCCCCCAACTCTCCCAGCTACAGAAGTTGCATATCAATGACAATCTTTTCTCAGGATCTATTGCAACAGGAATTGGTTTGTGGTCTAGCCTCAAGAAGCTTGAACTGCAAAACACGAAAATGTCTGGCTCTCTTTCGACGGAACTGCTTTTGTTGGACAAGTTGACCAGCTTGGTCATGATGAACACATCCTTATCTGGGAGCATCCCGGAGGGATTATGTGGTGTCATAGTCTCACCACATGAAATGAAAGTTTTTGGTGGGAAACACTATGCTGTGCCAACAACCAACCTGTCAGTCTGCTATGGAACCAATCTTTGTGGCTGCAGTTGTGCTCCTTGCTCCTGAACTAACTAACCGACTCGACCGGACTCTATTCTCTAGCTACCGGTAGTCTACTAGCTAGGTCCCTTGCACTGACTTGGAGCAGTTCCGTCCAGCTTTGCGAGACAAGTATTTTCTCGCCTCCGGTATGGAGACCTGTGTTGGTCCAACTGTTGGAGCAGCCGCTTCTTGCTCCTGGGTGAAACCAATTAAGTGCGGGGCCCGCAGATGGCCGTGCCTGATATTTGGATTTTAGAAAGGGTCAACTGCAGGACGCAGCCAGGAAAAGTAAGCTACTACCTCATCATGCATGCCTTCTGCTTCGTTAGCACGGTCAAATTTCACAGAGACTAGTACAAGGTACAGATGGGAGCCTCATCGGCTCGTCGTACCCTGGGCCAGGTTAGGTCCATGTGTAGGTATCGGGCGGCCCGAATCGAATCGAATCATGTTTGGTCCAAGTGTTGATTAAACACTAGAGAGACTGTTTGGCCATGGTGAGCTATTTTAAAGTCAGTCTAAAAAGAAAAGTGAGGAATCGCTTTGGTGGTCCAGTCGATTTCGAATTTCAGTCCCGGATACTCATGACTCAACACACTCCTGCCTCCATCCCTAAAAATCGGATGGAGGAGCATATCCCATAATCTGATCACGGAATTTCTTGAAGGCGGCTCCCTGCAATGGCTTCGACATAAAATCTCCTATCATTTTGTCCGTAGGACAATACTCGACCACAAGATTACCCTGTTGTATCTGGTCGGTAAGGAAAAAATAACGAATATTCAAAGCTCGCGTACGACTTGTAGAACCCACCTTGTCCAAGAGTGGCAACTGCACCTGTGTGGGAACGGAAGTCAGGATGAACAGCAAAAGCTGCATCAACGTACCACTTGATCACATTCAAATTATCGGCAGAAAGGATAAGTTTGTCGTTACGCGTGCTGTCACAATAATGTAGCATACGTAATAAAGCTTCCCAATCGCTTTCAGTCGGAGACTGTACCCTCGTGCAAAGCACGGCGATGGTAGGGTGAATATCGGGGCGTGCTCGTTTACAGACGAACAACCCCTTGGCAGTAAATGTGTGGTATTCCTCCGCACGTTTCTGGTCCAGTTTTTCACCTGTTGAGGCGTGGAACAGAGTTTCTGCCGCTGGTGATGAAACTGTCACGTCGGGGTCAAACTTGATGGAAAAGTCGTCAACCATCTTCCCAACATAATCGGTCATGTCCACGATTAACTTTCCGGGCTGTGAGAAGTCTAGGGTCATACCGAGGTAATCATGAATATGCCCTCGTGTAGCCTTGACGGCACCCAAAGACCCGTACATCTCGTTGAGCCATTCCAAGAAAGCATCGTTCACTTTCGCATCCACGTGACCTGACATCAGATCGTCAACGTGGAATCCCAATGTGTGTTGCTTCCCGTTAATCATTCGGTTGCAAATACATGGGTCATAGGGATTAAACACAAAGCCGATGCTCTCCAAATCCTTTCGGAATTTGCGGTACCAGAGCAACGCTGCGACCACATCCCATAGATTGCCTTCATCACTTGAGTGTAGAGAACTTTCTGTCCTCGCTCAAAACATACAAAGGGCTTGTACACGTCTGGTGCGATACTCCAAGCATATCCACCAACGCGCTTGTATCTTCATAAATACGGTTCTGAATCAACTGGCTTTTCGGTTTGCACAAATGCTTTCGGCACGTCCGCAGTCATCACGTAACGTCCCTCATGTGCATTCACCACTGCGTCAGCATCAATCCCTCAAGGGAACGGTTGACTCTTCGAATCGTCCTGCAGGTACCCTTGTGGGTTTCCCATTGAACACCATTCTGCCTTTTACAGACTCGTCACGCTTCTCTGTACAGAACATCAGGCAACTTGGGTTTTTCTCCGCTGTTCCTCAGTCATCGTGCAGGATCACAGGAGCAAATGCAACTCGATCATGCAATTGGCCAATTTCCTTCATAGCGGCCTTGTAACCACGTTCACCGAAGACTTTTCAATCCTTGTTCCCAGCAATATTGCTGTCGTAATGGACCAATCCCTTGTGAAAGCGGTCGTCAACTCATGATGTACTGTGCCAAACATTCCTTCAATCTCATCATACTACGAACACTTCCTTCCGAGGACATTGTTGTTCCGTGATGTTGTGGGAGTCTTCTATGATAGCGTCTCTCTCTTCTGGCGACAATCCTTTCTTGATATCGCCATAGTAGGTGATAGCCAAACATATCTTCGTGGGTTTCACGTGCTGCTGCTGGAGGCAGTCTGTCAGTGAGTTGCTCTGAAGCTCCGTCTTCAGTGTACTTTGCTATTGAGATACCACTGAAAAAGGTGGTCCTAGGCTTCTATGTCACTGGCGATAAACAGTTTACAGAGGTTACAGGGGTTGATCGCCGTATATCGCGAAGCCCAACACACCTGTGGTCGTCGCGGCTTGTCCTAGTCGGCGACCATGCTGACTTGACTTACTGCGTCTTGAGCCTCCTTCTGTTGAAACGACCCTCTGTGCCGACCGGACCCTCGCTCGAAGTTGCTCCGGGCTCTGGGTCCAGCAACACCCACACTTTCCACTGGCGCTGTTGAACATTTTGACCTTGGGGCGGCTTCGTCCAAAGTCCGCAACCATATCATCAGTTGGACACCAGTCCGACACGTCCCTTCTTGGCGAACTCGTTCGCTTTCACAAAGAAATACCTGAATGTTGATGTGCTTGCTTCGTTGTACTTACTTAGAACTGTGGCCGTCGTTCTCAGAAGTATAGGCACTCGGTCCTTGATTAGACTATAGTTTGAACTTGCATAGACCTTGCTCCAGAAGTGAAACTGGCCTCGTCCAAATGATCGATTTGGCATAGGTCACAACTGCTTACGAGTTCAGTCTTCAGTTGAGCTTGCTCAGTTTTCAACCTTTTTGCGCTAAGTCGATAATGGTTTAACCGGTGCATGGTAAAACCACCTTCCGCGTGTGACCCCTGCAGTGTGGATGCGGACTGCGAAGAACCATTTAACATTACCAGTCAATTGCCACTTCCGTCGGTGTGAGAACTAAGGTAGGTCTGAGTACGTCACATGTGACGTGCATGAGGTGGACTATTACCCAATCGGCCTTATCTGGTTCCTTGACTCTAGTCGTAAGGAACGAGTATCGCGTAACTGTGTCTTGGTGCGGGCTCTGCTTGCGTATACGAAAAAACACCTAGCCACCAGGCGTGAAAAGTGGCTGCCTTGCTGCGTTGGAGCTTGCTTGCAGATTGGGCTACTGTTGAATAGGTCGCGCGGCTGCACTACTTCGAGTGCTCCGTGCCCCCTTGCCTCTGGGGATGCGGCTCTCGAAGCTCCAGGATTTCATCAACGTAGTGACATCGAGACGTTGGCATGGACCTCGTCGTCGGAAGCTATGGTTACCCAAAGATACGTGGGACCTTCTCGTGCCACCGCACGCTCCAGGCCGTGCCTCGAAAAGCTCGTACATAACGAAGCACTTGGATCAGCTGTGATACCTGCGACGTCCTGGCAAGCTTACAGTCGCTACAGGCCAGCAGAACGTGTTGCTTGCCGTCACCATTCTCGGGGGCTACACAGGGGTCGTAAGGATAATCTTAAATCCGTCGGCGACCATCGCGTTCCGAACTTACGGAGTATAGGAGGCTAGGCACCAGTAGTGCCGTGAGATTGCATTCAACGCATTGCAGGTAGCAATTGCGTGTGTGCCTGTTCGTTATTCCGTTACAACGGTTGTGACACCCTGGGCATTCACACAGATGTGCCACTAGTGACTACCTGCTGTACTCGAATGATACATGCTTGTCATGCCTCTGACCTTGTGCTTGATGAAGGCGTTGGGGATTCAATTACTGCCACATCCTTTTCCTCTTCAACGTCGATATATGCAGGATATTAGCACTGCTTCTGTCGACAACTGTTGGCATGCTTGCGTCTTCGGAGTGAAGTCACGCTGTTGTTGCACGCGGCACCGCTCGGCCTTGATCTTCCCGTTCCGTTGGTCACTTGAGGAACAGGTGTGACTCTGCACATTCTAAGAAGCGCAATGTAGGTAATTTGAGAAACGAGACTCAGTCTCGTTGGGAAGCAAACTTCCCAACCTCAGCCTTCCGAACCAAGTCCAAGGTTCCAATAGGCAACCCGGGCTCCAGGTTGGGAAGTGACAGTACTTTACAATCTACTACTGGCAGGGGAAACAACTTCAGTACGTGGTATGTTACCCTTTTGTGCCCATTGTGTATCCACCGTTAAGTCATTGTCTACTAAAAAGAAGTTACATCGCCATCCGTTTTTTGGATGGTCAGAACATGAATAATGCATTCCCAACAACAGTAGATCCTGCACAGAGGGGCTATTAATCGCAGAGGCGTTGACCTACCAAAATGGACCTCAGGTGGCCAAGTTTCAAATAAAACCAGCTAAAACGAGATAAGAAGAGGATAAGAGTGGGAATATCAAAAGGATTAGATTGTTAACGCTAATTCAAATAGAGCAAGTAGTGATTCACCAAAAAAGAGGATCACCTAAAAGATGCCTCATGGTGAATGGGGTGAAAAGGGTGAAAAAGGCTACCAGATGGGCACCAACCACCGACCAAATTAACAAGATCCACAA